TTTTTTTTTTTTTTTTTTTTTTTTTTTTTGGGGGGGACTAGAATTTATTAATTTCATTTAATAAACGAAAGACAAAAATTACAAGAGTGGATTATGAGATCGTATTTTAAATTATTCGATGAATATAACTTTCGATGAAAAGTATCTTAGGATACTTTTATTCTCGTGGGGAAATTCGAACATTGCTCTCTCTCTCTCTCTCTCTCTCTCTTTCTCTCTTTCTCTCTCTCTCTCTCTGTTAATACTGTCATTCAACAAGGTGACTAGTAAAATTTATAATCAATTTTCTTTCCCCTCCCCCTCTCTCTTTCCTTTCAATTGAAATACACAAAATAAGTATGGCATTTTTACACGTGCAAATGATACTCTTCTTTCCTTTCTTTTTTTTTTTTTTTTTTTTCTTCCATATTCCACATACATACATACATACATACATTTAGCAAAACGCTAGAGTTATTATTATTATTACAAAAATAGTAATATTCAAATTTCGCTTTGTATCTGTAATTCGTTTGTAATCGTTGAGAAATTCGCATTACTTTTGAATTGTCCGTTTCATGTTTGTAAATTTAATGTGAAGGAACCGGCTCGAAGCAACGATATTCAAAATGACTCATGACCGAAGCAAACTTATTTGTTGATTGTTTCGGAAGATTTGAATTGAATACTTTCATACTCGCGCTTCATCATCGCGTTTTATTTATATAACGCATATTAACGCCACGTTAATATTAAAATAATTCGGCATCGTTTTCCCCCCTCCCCCATAATCGATATCGCTACGATAATTCATTTTTAGCTGCCGTCATTATTGTTACTATATTACGATCACAACCGGATTTAACAAACCACCATAAAAATTTTGTACAACAAGTATACAAGAATAGTAGGGAAAGGATAAAATATTATACGAATGTATAATAACTAAAATAACAACACTGCTACGTAAGATGAGCAAAGCGATCCAAAGGATTTGGATACGTTTGAGAGTAGAAAATTGTTAATATTGTTAATATTGTTTTTATTCAAACGATATTCAAATCCTAAATGAAAAAAAAAAAAAAAANAGAAAAAAGGGTTATCGAGAAACAGAATCGACTCGATCGATAATAAAATCTTCGAAAACGATCTTCGTTCGCTTCGTTCCTGAATCACTCAAAGCGGTATATCCTCAAAGGATAGATCGAATAACTGCCCCTCTATCGAGCGACGTTTCCACGTAACATTTGTAACGCGATATCGAAGGTTTTTCTCTCCGGGCATTACAACTGGTTACGTTCGTCGACGTGCTCGATGAAATCACCGGTACAACACACGGTGCGGTTTAAGAGAAAAAAAGGAAAAGAAATCTCCAAGATTTCTCGAATTCTCGATCAATAATCGACCAATCTTTCTTGACGACGAATACAAAATGAAATAGATTGAAAAAAAAAAAAAAA